GACCCATTAAACAGCATTTAAATCGCTCAACTGCTTTTCTAATCCACATTCCCAAGGTCCATATTCCTTCAAACAAAAGTGTTAAGTTGGGAGCGTAGACCCCAGCCCCTTGGTGGGACCTCCAAGATGTTAGGAATATTTCCTAACGCAAGCTCTCTGCTGATGAAAAATCCCAATCAAGCCAAATCAAAACAAGCCAAATTAAGAAATATCCAGGTTTAATGGGAGTTCTGCACTCTCAGGTGGCCCCAAGGGGCCGCGAATGCAACCATCCGGAGGAAGGAAAAGAGACCACATGTTCCTCTTTTGGGAGTTCTTTTAAATACTCTGGCATCCTGGGATTTGGAGTCCAGACCAATACAAACTCTCAGGCCTGGAGGCTGGGATAGATGCAAGGGGCTGGGGTCTATGCTCCCAGCTTAACAAAAAGTATAATCAGGCCTTTTATGGCAATACCCAAGTCCCTACTACAGACTTCTTAGAGTTTCTGCTGCTGTGAAGAGACACCACAACCACGGCAACTTCTATAAAGGAAAACATTTATTTGAGGTGACTTACAGTTCAGAGGTTTAGTTCATTATCATCATGGCAGGACATGCTGGCATGCAGACAGTCATGGTGCTGGAGAAAGAACTGAGAGTCCTACATCTTGATCGGCAGACAACAGGAAGTAAACTGGACTAGACATAGTTTGAACACTGGAAATCTCAATGCTTGCCTCCAACGTGACACACTTCTTCCAACAAGGCCACACCTACTTCAACAAGGCTATATACCTTCTAATAGAGCCAGTCCCTATGAGTTTATGGGAGACAATTACATTAAAACTACCCCAGATGGACATTAGACATCCACTGCCTGCTGGCATCTCTCAGCAGGGTTCTCACAACATGTGGAGCTGTTGCAGTTAGAGTCTGTCCTAATGTAAGCTTGTCTGCTTCTTTTACAAGAATTGTGGTGGCTGTAATGTCTCTTAAACAAAAGTGCCATCTAGAGACTACAGGATCCAGTCTCTTTGAGATGTAGGCTATCGGCCTTTTCCAGGGACCCAAAGTCTGAGACAGGACTTCTTTGGCAATGCCCTTTATTTCATGGATGTAAAGAGGAAAGGGCTTGGAGCTATTAGGAAGAGTGAAAGTAGGGCTTGTACCAGGGCCTCTTTTAAGTTCTAAAAGGCCTACTCATGTTCCTCAGTCCAAAGGACTGTTTGCCCCCAGCTGTGGCAGAGTACAAGGGTGTAGTATTTCCAGGTATTCAAAGCAATATCCAACAGTTCCCAGAAATTCCCTAACCTGTTTCTTGATGGTTGGAGTTGGGATTTGCATTATGACTACTATGTGGGCTTGGGACACATAGTCTTTTCTGTTCTCTTAGATCATCTCCCAAGTAGATAATCCAAGCTAGAAAATTTGTGCTTTCTTTTCAGAAACTCTAAAACTGCACTCAGCTATAGTTTCCAAAAGGCCTCTGGTGGTTCTCAAACAGTCCTCCTCATCTTTAGCAGCTAAATAATAAATAAGCCTACATATTTGAATGTGAACATAGGCTGACTTCAATTTGGAGGTGGAGAAGAGTGCATCTTTTAAGCTCAAAACAGTGTAAACTTTATGCTCAGGTGATAATTAACTGAGCAAACTGTAGGGATTTGGAACAGTTGTGTAAGTGGATTCTACCCTCTTGTTCACTTCCCTCAAGTCTTGTCCTGGTCTATAGTCTTGAGTTCCAGGCTTTTGGACAGGAAACAAGGAGGTATTCCAGGATAACTGGCAAGGAATAAGTGTGCCTGTTTCAAGGAGGCACCTGATGTGAATCTTAACCACTTCCCTAGGTTCCGAAATAATGGTGTAGGGCTTGACTGGAATGGGCCTTACCCCAGATGTTAGACGCACTATGACAGGTGTCACATGTTTTGCCAAGCCAGGAGGATTGTTCTCTGCCCAAACTCTAGGAGCTTCCTGAAATGTTAACTTTTTCCATTTCCCTTCCAGGGATTGGGCTGGAATTTGGAGGAGCAGAAATTCCTCACTTATTGGGCAGGTAAGGGTTAAAGTCTTAGCAGGGCTTCCCAGTTGCAACCTAGGAATGTACCCTAAGAATGATATTGTTGCCTGGAGCTTGTTCTGGATGTTTTGTCCCAGTAAATACTAATGATATTCAGAAATAGCAGTAATGAGTCACATTTCCTTCATTAACACTCCAGTCAATGGTCCATTTGTATTCTTTAATAACCCCTGTCGCCCCTGTACTTTCCTTGTTCGATTGAAAAAGGTCATAGGATCTCCTGTAATACTGAATAAATAGCCCCTGTGTGGTGTAGGATTCCTCTCTGTATGCTGTGAATATGCCTTATTATCACTGGTTAATAAAGAAGCTGCTTTGGCCTATGGCAGGACAGAATATAGCAAGGTGGAAAATCCAAGCAGAGATAGAGGAGGAAAGAAGGCAGAGTCAGGGAGATGCCATGTAGCTGCCAAAGGTAAAGGACATCAGAACCTTAACAGTAGGCCACAGCCTCATGGTGATACACAGATTAATAGAAATGGATTAATTTAAGATGTACGAGCTAGCTAGGAATATGCCTGAGTCATTGACCAAACAATGTTGTAATTAATATAGTTTCTGTGTGATTATGTGGGTCTGGGTGGCCTGGAAATGAAAGCACAGTCTCTGTTTACACCTATGTTCATCAGAAAATTTACAGGTTGGTCTCTGTCTTAGTTAGGGTTTCTATTGCTACGAAGATGATGTAGATGGGTCTTCTGTCTATGTGTTAATTTCATTGGTCAAATAAAGAGACTGCCTTGGCCTTTGATAGGACAGCAGCTTAGATAGGCAGAGTAGACAGAACAGAATGCTGGGAGAAAGAAAGCAGAGTCAGGCAGATGCCATGAAGCTCCGGCCCGAGATGGACACTGGTTAAACTCATGCTGGTAAACCACAGTCAAGTGGCAATACAGATTATTAGAAATTGGTTAAAAGAATATGTAAGAGTTAGTCAATAAGAGGTTAGAACTCATGGGCCAGGCAGTGTCTAAATGAATACAGTTTCCGTGTAATTATTTCGGGTAAAGCTAGCCAGGAGGCAGGACGCAGCCTGCTGCTCCTTTTACACAAAGAGACACCATGACCCACAGCATCTCTTATATGGGAAAGCATTTAATTGAGGTTGTGGTTTACAGTTTCAGAGATTGATCCATTTTCATCATGGTGGGGAACATGGCAGCATGCAGGCAGACATGGTGCTGGAAAAGGAGCTGTTACATGTTGACATACAGGCAACAGGAGTGGTCTCTCTCTGGGCACGACTTAAACATATGAGACCTCAAAGTTCACCTCTACAGTGAGGCAATAAGGAAATGCAAAAAAGTCTCAAAAAAATTTCATGTGGTCACCATGCGACCAGGGAGGATAAATTCTCAAAACCAAGTCAAGGTCGTGTGTTGGAGCATGTCTGTCTCCAGGAAACAGACATAAAAACAGCCACTCAGTTCTTAAAGTAAGTGGAAACTTATTTTTAACAATACAGTATGATGGCTCCTGTCATCAATATTAAGTTAGGTGGGTCACTCATTAACTGTCTTTGGGCAAGTGGGGCTTACAGGTTAGAGGCATTTTTGTCTTATACATCTCTTAAGCACAGGAATTTCAAATGAAACCAACTGTAGCCCTCACATTTGAACCCTTGATGAGATTGTATTTTGACAAAAGTCATCTACGTTTGGGGATTTTGGAGACAGATTTGCTGGAGCTGGAGAGATGGTCCCTTGAGCTCTGTCCCTAGCTCTTTGGTCAATCATCTGCTTGGAAAGCAGCTTGTCTGGGATGGCTGAGGACTAGCCATTTGGCTCCATACATGGCATGCTCCTGTGAGGCTTTCTGGAAGTTGCTGATAATGCTGGTTGAGTTCAATTCCGGTAACTTCTTGTGACTTTGGACCACATTACTTCCTGACCTGTGTTCCTGTGTTTGTAGTCTCATGGGGCAGCCTAATCAGTTTACTACGTTTCTGATAATCTGATAAACTAATTTCTTCTTCTTCTTCTTCTTCTTCTTCTTCTTCTTCTTCTTCTTCTT